AATTGTTTTGTTGTTGTTGCTAATTGGTCAAATTCTGGATTATAATTAGTGTATTGGATTTGGCTTTATGAAGCCATGTCTGTGTATTTTTATGACAGGTCAAATGTGTAAGACACGATGTGTCTAACTGGATGTTGTGTAGTGTGTCGTCAGATGGTAGACATTTAGAAAGCAGAATGTAATTTATGACTATCAAAATATAAAATACACTAAAAAATTAAAGAATTTGATTTTTTTTACGAGGCAAATGTTAATGTAGTTCATTATCAATAAAATGATAATGTGTTGAATAAAAACTTTTTTCGTCTGTGGTACTTCGTGACGAATCATTTGTGAGACATTTATGAAGTGTGTTAACCCTTTCACTGCTGTAGGTATATGCACCCCCTGTGCTGGGACTTTTTTTAACGAAAAAAGTTAATTTTTAAAATAATTCAAAAAAAATACTAAAAGAGGTTATTTAGAAATTCTTTTTGTGTGTTGGGGCGAGCAATAGGTTGGCATACGCGAGGAACATTGATATTTGGTATTTTGCATAATTAGGTAGTCATGTGTATTACAGATTTCCCAAATTCTGTTCCAGGATAAAACAAATTTTATATATAGATAACTCTTGCTACGTGCATTTATTTCCAGTCTGTCACTTCAAATTTATGTCATTGTTGGTTTCTTATGAATATGGCCACCCTTGATAATTAATGACATACTTTATACATGAGGAAAATTGTTTTGTTGTTGTTGCTAATTGGTCAAATTCTGGATTATAATTAGTGTATTGGATTTGGCTTTATGAAGCCATGTCTGTGTATTTTTATGACAGATCAAATGTGTAAGACACGATGTGTCTGACTGGATGTTGTGTAGTGTATTATGTCGTCAGATGGTAGACATTTAGAAAGCAGAATGTAATTTATGATTATCAAAATATAAAATACATTAAAAAATTAAAGAATTAAATTTTTTTTTAGGAGGCAAATGTTAATGTAGTTTATTATCAATTAAATGATAATGTGTTGAATAAAAATTTTTTTCGTCTGTGGTACTTCGTGACGAAACATTTGTGAGACATTTATGAAGTGTGTTAATGTAGTTTACAACTTAAAAAATGAAAATTGCATTTTATTAAGTGTTGAATCAAATTTGTGTTTGTGTGGTGCTCTGTTCACTCAAGTCCATTGGTATCATTTATGAAGCTGCTTCATTTATTAAGTGTTGAATGCTATTGAATGTTATGTGATCCATTATGGTGAGAGAAATATGAAAAACATTTATGGAGCAACAAAGTTTATTTAATAAAATACATTTAATATGTGAATGATGAATGATAACGAAGTCATGTTGGTAACGTAGACGAAAGCTCGCAGCAAGTTGACATCAAATTGTGCTTGGTTTATTGCTGATGAAACAGTTCTTCAATTGAGTGAAACAGTTCTAGTCATTTAATAAGTGGATTTTGTGGTGTACAAAATGATAAGTGAAATGAAATATACATTTAATAACGCTTCAATATTGTTATAATGTTAATGTTGTTGTGTGTTGCATTATGATGTCAAATGTGAGAAACATGAAGCATATTAATTTAGTTTCTGACAAGTAAACTTTTGAATGTTATTTGGATTGCCTTTTAATTCAAGTTTGGTAATTGTTTCTCTTCGATTTTTGTCACAGTTTCATTTACCCTAGTCACAAATCTCTACTCAATTTATACTTTATCTTTGCTTCCTGGCTTGACCTATCTAGACCCTCTACGTCTTAGCCTCCCGTTGAGTTAATGTATTCAACATAGTTATGTTTTTTTTTCTTACATTGTTGGCTTAATCATTCTAATTAATAATCGTTTCCGGCATACGTGTCTATTGAGTAGAAATCTGTCTAAAATTATTGTTTACTTACTTATTGATATTTCACTACAATTTAAAGTTTGGTATCCAAATGCCTTGGAATTTTTATACTTTAAGTAAATTCACCAGAAAACTGTGTCTTAAAAAAAAATGACCACTATTTTCTATATTTTCCCAGATCTTAAATATTATTTAGTATAAACTGCTTTATAACAGTTTAAAATCATTTATTTTTTAAATATTTATTATCAAATATTAATCATTTTGAAAATATGATGAAACCTTTTCTATGTTAACAGTTACCATTTTAAAATTAAATTATCCAACCAGATTAAAGATAACTATTCTAATTCTTAGTATAATTATTTTTATATAATATAGTTAATGATAACAACATTTGCTTGAACTTTTAAACTTATGATATAAAATATAATCAAATGCATTGAGTTTGTTTCTTCATTGAGAATTTATATACATATTATTAATAACATTGTTATACCTGTACAACAAATTATCCACATTTCTTGATAAATTCAGTTCTTTATTGACATTAAAGCTCAGTTATGTTGACATCCTTTATAAATAGTTAACTGACATGAAAAACAAGTAAAATTGTATTTTTAGTTTTTATGTTAATTAAATTTATTTAATTTGAATATAAAGTCAAGTGCATAATTAGAAAAATTAACATTAACAACCAATTAATCACACATTCTTTCTTAATAGTTTGATTTGACAAGAAAAAAAGAAGTAAAATTATAATTGTAAAAGTGTAAGAAATGAAATTCCCAGGTGAGAATTTAAGAAGAGTAAAGAGACTTGAAAAATACAAATTGTTTTTGACATTTTAAACAAGCAACTGTGAACAGTAAGTCCTGCAAAGTATTTGTCCATAAACTTTTGAAGTTATGATTGTTTAAAAGGCATTTCTATGTAATTTTGTGTTAAACCTAGCTGTTAACAGTTCAAAATGTGTTACCATGCAAATTGTGTTAAACCTAGCTGTAAATACTTTGAAATGTATTTTGTGTTAACAGAAAAGTTTAATTACCAGTTTATTAATAATAAAAATATGTAGAATTATGTCATGTTTTCCTAAGCATATATTTGTCATGGTGTCTTTTTTAAACATGGAAAATTGACCAAGGTGGAGGGTAGAAAAACCCTGTGCAAAACATAAGCAAACGGAAGAGAAGATAGTTTGTTATAAATGTTCTTTATTGTAGCATAAATTTATATTTCTACTTTATTATACATTCTTATTTATAAAGTTGTTTTCAGACTAATCTTGCCTAGTATTTGAAATGTTATAATGAATAATAATGAATAAATCATTCATATACTGACCACAAATTCAGTCCCACACATTTGTTTTTAACAAGAATGTTTTTGTGTGATGATAACACATTCATGTGCATTAATGATTGTGCAACATTCTTAACACAAGAATTTCCAATGCATCCTGTGTGTATATATTTATGTATGTTTACTCTACGGTGATATGAAATGTTGATTACTTATGAATTATTTCATGTTAACTTAATTTACGTTTCTTCCTCCCCAATGGCCCTCAATCCTGCAAAGTATTTGTCCATGTATTTTTTCAAGTTACTTTCTCAGTGTAAAAAGCATTTTTATTTATACATGCAAGATAGTTTAAGAAAAGAAGAATTTCATCTCAACCATTGACCAATTGGTACACATTTAGGAAGAGCTAAGCTGTCCAATAGCGGGGTCTGGCAATTTCGCAGTTTCTGACAGAGAAGAGCAATGGAGATCCAGGGGGCTGAGCCCCTTGACACCTAAAAAAGAAAAAGAAAAAAAAATGGCCATATTAATCTATTCTGAGACATTTTAGGTATCATACCCTAAAGAAATAATAAATTTTACAAAAGTTTGTTTTGCATTCTTTGGTCCAACGAGTCATGGCCAATGGGGGAATTTGGCCTGTAAACAGGGGTGCACAATTGCCGCGCCCCTGTGCCTCCATTGGCGCCGCCACTGCTTGGAAGCTCAATCCCTGTTTATTGTATGTCGATTTTTATTTTGGATTATATGGTTGATTTTTACAGAAGAGTACAGATCATATAACCAAGTGTCATTAGTGAATTCATGACAAATAATAAAACACAGATTGTATTTACAGTAAGGGCAGAAATTGGAGTAATGGGTTAGAACAAGTTTTATAAAATTCATAAAATGAAGAAAAATTGAACTGATGTATTAATAAACAACATAATTACTGTATGTTCATTGATGATCCCTAAAAATAACCTACCACCCTGCACTTTATTGGCTCTGAACCTTTATTAAAGACCCATACAGTGCACTTTGCAGGTTGAGTACCTTGCATACATCCATCCCTTTTCATATATCCTCCTGCACTTTGTGGGCTGTAGGCCAGAAAAACATCAATGGCCCCTAATTGTACTTCGTAGACTTGTGGCTCCGAAGAAACATCTATCTCCCTACACCTTGTGGGCTGTGGGACTCAAATACATATATTCTGGTATTTCTTTACTCAACAACAACATTTAAAATTCACAAAATACGGCAGCACTGAGATGCATCTGCATCTTGAGCTGAATTGCATTTCATGATTACAAATTAGCCACATGCACTTTTTGAGAGCCTGTTGAACTCAAAAGCCTTTTGCCTTTTTTTTTTTGGTGATTTGTGGGCCTCAATTGCATCTATCACCCTTTGCTTTGGGGGCTGTGGGCCTTAAATAGATCTAGACCCCTATATCCTTATACCCCTACATGCATTTTCTGAGAGTTCGTTGAGCTCAAAGGCATATACTGTATCCCTCTGCACTTTGCAGGATGTGGGCCTCAATTACATCTATCACCCTGCACTTTATAAGCTGTAGGCCTCAACAGCATCTATCCCCTTGTAATTTTTTGAGCCCCTCCTGCAGTCGTTTGGATGTGAGCCTAACAATTGTCAATGCGTCTTACATTCTGGGGGCTTTGGGTTCTGTAACTTTAATGTGAATGATAGTATACAAGACATGGGATGAAAAGTTTCGAAACCCAGTTCAGATACCTGCACTTTTTGAAATGTGAGCCACAAAAAAAATCTAGTATATCCTACCCAACAACACATTGCAACTTTCTATGAATGATAGTATATGTACAATTTTTTTTGTCCCAACAGATACATGACATGGGATAAAGTGAAGTTTCCAAACCCAGTTCAAATGCAGGATCAGTTAGCAAGCAAAGGAAGAAAGGTATGTTACCTATTTCTACTATTTTAATAAGCTGTACAATATTTATACATACATTGGACCCCTTCTGAAATATATTAACGTTTGTTGATTTTATGTTTCGTCCATGCGTCCATTCTCCATTTAAACAGCCAATTTTTTCTCTTTATTTTGTATGTCATTGTATTTTAATGTTGTATTGTATATGAATGGATGCTAAATAAAGTAAAGAAAATTCATATCAGTAAAGTATGTTTGTCTTCACTATTATTAAGTTTCATGTGATTTTTTTACGATGTAAAAATCATATTTGACGAAAAACTTGGGAGTGGCTAATGAGATACATATTTTTGAATATTAAAAACCGGGGTGGAGGGGGGGGGGATGAAGGTGGAAAAAAGGGTGGTTACACCCCATAATATCCACAATGCATACATGGTGATGACCATAAGGACTGGTTTGAGGCTGCCACTTGTTGAATGCAGGGTGCATTTGTCCAAGGCATATCATCCATGTCGTCTCTCTTCCACCTAGAAGCAATCCTGGAGAAGTTTTTATGCCCTTGACCATGATTATTATCTTTATAAAATGCCTCCAGCCCTGCCTTGAAGTGTAAGTTGATACCTGGTTGTAGGTTTGAATATCAGTACACTGATTCTAACTGCAACATTATCGCATACTTTCCCCAGGGAGGTGAGTATGTGTTCCATAAATGTTTGATCCAGTGACTGGGGGTTAAAAAAGTACTTCGAGGCCATGGCACTAATGCTAGGGCCTACAAATTTTGTTATTATTAGTTACATACAGAGGAACATGATATGGCCTAGATCGATTCATCATGAACTTAAAAAGTACTGTACATATTATCAATAGTTCATCTGTTTCCAAAGGATCATTTGAGTATAACTTTGATTTATGTTACATAACAGTAAATATGAAGTCAGCATATGAGGTTAACTTGTTCCAGTAGATGGAATTTATTATACATGCCACACTGCAGTGTGGCTTACCTGATGATGTTCCACAAAGCCGGCATTGACTGCCAGCAGCGCACCTGCACTGTAACTCCCATGTACCAGTCACTCTCAAAATGCTTCCTCTTACTGTATTTACTGTTCTATAAGCTTGCAAATATGGATAATTTATCATTGCTGATGATGACATAATTACTGTATTGTCGAAATATTGAATCCCTACACGATGGCGTGCATTTTGATACTTGGGAGTATGAATTATTACTATCTTGTTCTTAAATTCTTTACTTAGAATAACTACTTTTTGATTTGTGTTGAAGCAGTATCATTGGAAATAAATTTACCCAACATTTCATGTGCTATATCATTCTGTCTGAAGGTTTAATGACCTACTATATGCTATACATATATTGGTCACTATACCATTTGGCATGCTCATTCAGACTTGAGAATGTGTGCCAATAGCACTGGAGACATTAGTATGTTTATTTCCAACAATACTGTACAGTTTAAACATAAAATGGAAAATGAAATGCATTTGAATAGGTGATAATTCTTATTTCATTTCAAACACACAGTAGAATTTGTCTTTGGGATCCTGCGATTTAAACAAAATAACACTATAGCCAAGTCCTACTCAGGGAACACCCCTATTACAGGACCCTTTTTTTGGTCCCAAAATTTCCCCATAATAGGTGATAATTCTTATTTCATTTTAAACACACAGAAGAATTTGTAATGGATACTTTTCCAGTGTCATCCCAACAGAAAGTTGCAACAATCTAAAAAAAATTTTAATAATTTTGATCTTGTTCATTTGAATCTATTAAAATATTAATTTTAATGAAATGTTTTTAATCACGTTCTATTCATATCACCATATTTTGTTATTTATTTTGTTACTGTAGTTATTCTACAACTGCTAGTTACTGTACAGTATATTGATAAATAAAATAATGTCAATTTTAGTACATCATGCCAAATAAGGCCTGTATGTGCTTTATATTCTGTGATAACTTGTACATGGTGGTCTGACATCAAGTACTGTATTTTGATATATGTTCAACATTATGTTTTTATGTTCTGATGTGCGTGATTCATTGTCTGACTTTCATTGAAACTGTCCTAAAGAAAGATAAATCTTAAATTTAGGACACAATATTGGGCTAAACGGGGCCGTGGGCTCTGGTGTTGTCAAGCCCCCAACGACAGGGTAGTAGAACACTGTTTCAGCTTAATGCCCCCTAATCAGTCAGCAGTTATTTTCGTTTAAGGGAAAAATTTTAATAGGAGTTCTACTGTATTTATTCCAACATTCTATCAGTGTCGTAAAATATTCATTTGTACAATTTCTTTCCTATTGGAGCCTGGCTTCGAATTTCTGCCAGTAAATTTCAGGATTTTCTTAATAAAAATGTTTGTAATTCATTGAAAATTATTTTATATTTAACTTAGTTGATAACTCATGTTGTTTTTTTAAATGAGTAATTTATGTTGTTTGGGTGGCACTAGCAATATATCATTTATGTCATGAATTTGCAATATTTGTTCTTCGTTCTATAAGTAGGTAGTTCCTATAATAGATACAACCCAAATATGATTCACATTTTATTCATGAAATGAAAATTTTCATTACACTGCAAAATATCAAAAATACTCTGTTGAATCTGTTTTTATGTATATCTGCTAAAGCACAATCTATATGATAATGAATGTCTGTTGTTAGATAAACAGAAATAACTTCTGAGAAATGTTTTGCTAAGCCCTGGGGACTAAGCTACGGTCAATAGCTGAATGTGCCCAGGAATCTTAGTCAACATATGTAGCTAGAGGTTAATTATAGATGTTTACTGGTTGTTAACCTTATGAGCTGGGTCTTCTCTAAGAAATGATACATAAAACTAGGTTATAGCTTTCTACGAATTAAACTCTCAACTAACAAACAAGGAATACCTTAGAAATGAAATGAGGATAAATTATGATATACATGTGGTGATGTCAGGAAAAAAAACATGGATACGTAATACTGTTCCTATATTCTTTTGCTTAAACCCTTAAATTGGCTAGTAATAATTTGTAATAATAATATTAATAATATAATATAATGCTGTAATAATATTTTTTTCATTTAAAGTTTTATATCAGTGACAGCACACAAATGGCACAGTCAACTTTTAACTAAAAAAAACACCCGTAACCAAAGATCTTATAAACACAAGATAGCGTTCTCCGCGATTTACGCGTGCAAATTCTGTAATAAGGCATGAATGGTGCCCTCTTGCTAAATTGGAAACTTTTGGCCCTTGACCGCTCTGACCATACCGTCACCGCGCGACTTTTTACCTTGGGTATCAATCCTGTGAACAGCAGAACAGGAACCATCTCAGATCCATTGCAACAGATAGGACGCCCTCTTCCAAAACTCAATACTTTTTCTCTTTGGTATAATAGCGCATGAATGGCGCCCTCTTGCTAAATTGGAAACTTTTGAACCTTGACCGACGCTTCTATTTGTTACGCGTAAATCGCGGAGAACGATATCTTGTGTTTATAAGATCTTTGCCGTAACTTAAACTAAATAAAACTTAAAGTTCATTTAGCTCAACATAGTATATTTTTGCATGCTAGTTTTTTTTAAATACTTTTATTTATTTGACCTAAGCTCATTGTAGCATAAATATTCAGCTACAGTACGTAGGTGTGTTTAGATTTATAATTATATACAATAATAATAAATAATATATGTTTCCAACAAACATGGAGGGAGCATTGTAATTGGTATTTACTGCAGAAAGTTGAAAAACTGTATTTAATCAGCTGTTAGTATGTCAGAGTTTATAGTGGAAATATTAGTGAGCGTTTTTTTTTTAAATACTTTTATTTATTTGATCTAAGCTCATTGTAGCATAAATATTCAACTACAGTACGTAGGTGTGTTTAGATTTATAATTATATACAATAATAATAAATAATATATGTTTCCAACAAACATGGAGGGAGCATTGTAATTGGTATTTACTGCAGAAAGTTGAAAAACTGTATTTAATCAGCTGTTAGTATGTCAGAGTTTATAGTGGAAATATTAGTGGGCGTTTTAGTTTGTCTATCTGTGAACTAAGAGAAACAGAGAGAGTCTCTGAAATTGTTTATCACATGTCTAGTCATAGATTAATGTAGTTTACTTGAGTTTTATTGGGAATCACTTTAAAATCAGTGGCACCCACTCGTTTCCGAGTGGTGCATCCAAATACAAAAACCTCTTAACTAAATTTTACTACCGAACACAAAATATACAAAATTATGCACAAACAGAACCCTAATTACATCAATACATTTGTTTGGTTTTTTTTTATACAGATCAGATGCAAAATTATGTCAAGCTAAAATGAAAATATAATAAAATGGTACAACTATAACATTTCTACACAGTGTTAATGTATAGTATTGGGAAAAAAAATAAATTAAAATACAGAAGTTGTAAAAAAGTAATAACAGAAACAGGAGGAAAGTATAAGTATATATACGGTACCACTATGATGTTTTAGGGATTATTAAATTACTTAAATTACGTGAAATCTTTCCAATCTACAGTAAGTCGCCATGCTTTAGTTAAGTGTTGTCTAAAGTTGTTGTCTACAATTTGGCCTAAAATTAGGTTACCATTATATAAATTATCTAAAAGAAAGTATCGTTTATAGTCGGTAGCTGTAGCTGAACTTCATTTAATTCTAGGCAATGTATCTAATGCATGTTTATATGGAAAATTTTATGATAAATTCTAATAAAACATGTACAATTATGTAACTAACAATGATGATGATAATGATTGACTGACAACTACTACCTTTTCATTTTGCCAATTGAATGAAACAAGTGGCCAATCAGAATAGGGCTAAAAATATGCACTAGTCCCACAAACACACATTTGTCCCGCAAATGCATGTGTGTATACTTTTACACTATTGTTTTGTGGTGCTTTAGGAACAAAATCCTACTATAACATAGAATTTGCCCCTATTAAGGAGACACCCTATTTTTAATACTGTGGTGAACCTAATTTTTTAATCTATGTGTCGCATTAATATGGTGTCTATGGTGTGCTTTTGATTGCACAATGTAAGTTGGACCTAGAAAGTAATAACATCACTAAGAATTAATTTTCATGCAAGTTCTATCATCTAGATTAGAGTTATGTCATTGTGCAAATCAAAACTTTCCTAATACCTTGTCATACCAAGACCTCTATGCCTATCACATTTGTTGCTTGGGTCAAAGGGTCAAACACCCATGGAACGCATACGCAGATTTCTAATCTTAGGTTCCATAATTTTGCCGTTAATTATCAGCACATTACCAGATTTTCAACCCAGTAATCAAGTACCCTAGTTAGTACTGAAATTCTTAGTAACTAATTAAAAACTTATTAGATATATTAATGAATCTCCTAAAAATAAAACTGGTTTTTGCGTTGGCCATCTACTTTTAATGGACACCATACGGTTATTATGTTGATGGTCAGAGATTAATGTTAATGGTCTAGACGTATCACTCGGCACTTGAGATACTTAATACATGGCTCTAAGTATTGCCCTTGTATTTATAAAATGGATTATACTAAGTCCATTTCATGTGAAAAAGGGATTAATCAATAAGCATTTAATATATTATTTTAGTATTCCAAATCCCAGATTTTAATCTTAAGATTTTAGTATTAAACATAACTTTTTAGTCTGTTGATTTATTTAATTTAAATGTTTCCTGTGCCTTTTTCTTTCTAAATTCGTATACATATTTAGCATAAATTCACTATAAATATAATCTCTTATTTTGATATATTATTTATTGATTATTTTATATTTTTGATCTGTCGTATAACCTTAGAAATTTGTATGCTCAGTCAGTGCTGCCCTGTAATAGTACCCTACTCATATTCTATCCCTCCAATCCACCTGTCCTACTTTAGCACTCTACAGTTCCCTCTTTCCCAACATATATTATCCTCGTCTTCCAACTTCAGCCTAACCTTCATATTCACACATGTACAGTAAAACGTCCATTTTACGAATGTCCATTTTACGAATAGTCGATTTTACGAATGGTATTTGATATAATGAGTGCTTAAAGGCCTTGCTTGTTATGTTGCACTTTATAAATCTGGCATACTCTATGATCATTGAATGACTTCATATCTCACTCAATGCTAATTCTTCTTTCCCTTTTTATATTATATAGATGGTTACAATTATTGACCCACACTTTAAGAAGGATGATAACTACCATGTATATAAACAAGGAAAGGACCTTGGACACTTCATCAAAAACCACGACGGAGGCGATTATGATGGCTGGTGTTGGCCAGGTACGTAGAGATATCAGAATTATACACAATGTAGAGGAAGGTGGTGCAGCATAAATGCCACCCTGACACTTACACAATTTTTGTCCCTGCAATGCCGCGCAATACGTTGTGTCAAGACGTGCCATTTCGGTGGTACAATGCAGAGTGTGAACCTGTGTTTGAGGTTTGTTCGCGCGCTGTACACGTATAAGTTACGCACTGCGTGTCAAAAATTTGCAGTATTGACACGCAATGGCACTACTTGTTTACGCATAGGTTAAGTATTGTTCGCGCATTGCTCACGTCTACCGTACCGCATTGTCCTGCAGTGTCACAAACAACATGCATAATTCCCGCTGTCTTTCCGCATTGCCCCGACGACTTCGCGCATGTGTAAAGTCGTGGCAATTTTTGGTCAGGCTTTGTTTCGCTTGGCGGCACGCTATACATAGCGTAGGTTTGTCTTCGACTCGCTATGGACGATTCAACATGCTGAATACCAGACAGTGTTATTGCAGAATAGAGAAGGTGTCTATATCTGGCAACTGCTGACTATTACTTCTTGAAGAAAGCAGCAGAAAAGGCACAAAGAGGAAGAGCATTCTTAATTGACACGCACTGTCAGCAGTGTTTGCGTCAAGTTCGCGCAGTGTTCACGAATGGTTCATGCATATGGCACGAACATTGATACATGCCAAATTTTTGAACATTTTAAAATTCTCTCTACGACATGGTGCGCACCCCCGCACCCTTCACGTACTCCTCACGCACACCAGTGCGGGAACGAAAATCGTGCAAGTGTCAAGTTTCTTCTTGAAAGGGTGTGCATTGAGTCGTAGCATGTTACTTGTCCTTAGACATTGCTTATTTCGACCCAGTAGTTAAATGAGTATCTGGTTGGTTACATCAGGCCTCAAATTTTACCGTGGCCACCGCGGGCATTGCCGACGGTGCCCTCCCAGTTGGCCTTGGTGCCCCTGAAAATGAAGCACGACGGCAGCCACTACTTGCCTGCCCTTTTGAAGCCTTGGCCTCGGTGTCCTCACGATGCTTAATATAGATCTTGAAAGAAAACACGAAAGCCAAAAACGTAGGTCGCCTAGCCTAGGCCTAGTTGCAGTGACAGAACATGAGAGAACTACCATGTGTGTTGATACGAACTGTTTTTGCAGTTACCGTCGTATGCACATGCGTCTTACTCGAGCGGTTATTGCAATAAACATGGGCTTATTCGACTGGTTCATTTCGTTGGAACAAGTTTTTGTTGAGTATTATTTTCATTCGATTGGTTTGTTAAATAGACTTCGTTGACAACAAAAATTAACGTAAACCAGAGTGCGTTAATCAGCGTTAAGTTATCCACGTGACCAAAGAGAAACATGGCCGATTGGTGAGTTTATAAACAACGTTTGCGTTAATATAACTTAGATTAAATTTCATAAAATAAACATTATAATATTTACCCACATGGAGTCAAATATAATTGTAGGCAAACAGAATAGAAAAACTGGATGAAAATATTTTTCTTACGAAAAACCCATACTACCACAAGTTGAAGCAATCTTGATTACGCCATGTGTATCGCGGTAGCTATACAGTCATTTTGTTTTGTCGAGTATTTACAAGTTCTATTCGACTGGTCGTCTTCATTGAGTTGGATGTTACCGCTGCGCAGGTGGGCGTGGTTTAACGAAGAACGACCAGTCGAATACGGCCTTTGTACTGTAGTCGTAAACATGCGCTTGCTGCGCAGCTAACTGGGCGATTTTACGTCATCGCAGCTTAAGCGTGTGAAATTAACGTACTTGGTTGACACTCGGCTAATCTAGTTCATGACGGCCAGTTTAGAGTTGTGGCTTCCTCTCCGATGACGACGTACTGAGCAACAACACAAAGATATCGAACTTCTTGAAATTTGACTGTTTTGTACGATCGCCGACCGCCGCAATATATTCCAACATTGAATCAATAATTAATAGTTAAAAACCATTATACCATTGACAACTATGGCTTGGCTAGGCCTAGCTTGCCTAGCCTGGCGACGAGGAATCAAGGCACTCGCGAGAAATTAATACTGAGGCTAAATCAAATTTTGCCTAGGGTGCCCTTTTATACTTGAAAGTTTGGCCTTGGTGCCTTCCCATTTGGCCTTGGTGCCTTTCAAAATCATGTCATACCGGAGGCCATTTGGCCTTGCCCATAAAATCCCCAAATTCGAGGCCTGTTAAATGCTGACTATGCTGAATGCAAACTAGAACTGAGTGCTATTTCTTACATGATTACAATGACCACGAATAATATTGTACTTTGCACATAAAATTGTATGAATGTAATTGTGCATTAGAAATATATTAAATGTAGTTTGCCATTAGTAATGTAACAATAACAATTTTATCATTTAATAAGAAAGTGAATAATAATAATTAATAAATGATTATTATAACAATGTGTTATGTAATTTTATGTTGTGATCAAAAGTTAAAAATTTTGTTACAAATTAATATAACTTGTTGCAGAAGTGAAGTAAAGCTCACAATATTGAGCCAATATGACTCAAAGTCTTGACCATTCTGTTAGATGCAGGTATTAGACCTCTATTGATTTTATTTTAAGTTCCTTTGACTGGAGAAAACTCAGTGTAAGGTGGATTGAACAATTAATTCTTTTGACTTTTAAATGTTTAAAATAAAAGATCATGTAATATTAATAATGTTTCCAATTTTTTTTTTTTTTTTTTTGTGCGAAAGGTTCCTCTGCTTGGATTGACTTCACCAACCCAGCTTCTCGTGAGTTTTATTCCAACCTTTTTGTTGACCAATACGAAGGCTCCACCCATAATTTGTTCACATGGAATGACATGAATGAACCATCAGTATTCAATGGACCAGAAGTTACCATACACAAGGATGCCATCCATCATAATGGATGGGAGAACAGGGATGTGCATAACATCTATGGAACGTACATGGTACGTCCAATATTTTTTATATTATTCTTTTTCAAATACCTTGTCAGATTCTGACGTTTAGCAATCATATCTTTAAACCTGCCTCTATTATTGATGGCATGAATGAGATCTATTCTCCCTTGCCTGGTTGACAGTATTAAGTCATCTAAATACTTTTTGCTTTGCTGGTTTTCTCTTTTACCTTCTATTGTTTTTTATATTAGGATGGTATTTGTGGTGATGATGATGATGAATATGATGAAGGAGAGTTTTTACTGTATAACATATCAATGCGATTAATAATAATAATAATAATAATAATAATAATAATAATAATGGTACATTTATATAGAGCATAATGCCAGCGCTTCTATGCGCTTTACATAAATAGAATATGGAATAAAAAGTAAGTGAATGAGAACAATGGAAGACTAAAAAAAAAAAATCCTAAGAGTAATGAGGACTGCCACTGAGATTTTTTCCTAGTTTTTTTAATTATGTTATTTTTAAAAATGTAATTGGTTGAAAAGTGTGTTGACTTTTTGTCCTGTTTGCCGATGTACCTGTATCTATTTTCCTCAGAGTTTCACAGCTTCCTTGTCAATCTAAATCCAGCTTATGTCTTCCCGATGGGAAAAGCTGGCAAGTAATCAGGAACGCTCATGAATCACGGAAAACTTATAGACATGAGCTTTGTAGGAAGTGTCAGGATCTATATTGAATTAAAAAACGCTTGGTTGACATTAAATGGACTATAAAATGACATATGCAAAAAGTCCTACTTTATAGAAAATTTCCAAAGGACACCAAATGTGACAGGAAACCTTAAATCAATTACATTTATTTATAATCATGAGATTACTGAGCTAATGTCAGTCATAGTTATTTTGATGTGTAATTGCAGAAGTGATTGCAAAGCAGCAAAGTGTACTGTATGCCTTTACAGGGGAAGCTGTATATTTAAATCAGCTAAAATTACTTATGTATAATATGGTGATAAATATTAAATTAGATTTCATTGATAACTTGTTTAGGAAACAATTCTAATACATTCTGTAATTTATATTTGTAATGTACCTTTACATTTTAGTATCTTCACTTGATTTTATTAGGGAGGAAATCTTTGACATTAATTTGCATTGCATTGATGTTTTTTTTTTTTTATTTTTAAAGTTAATTGGGTCCTTTTTAACACTTGTAAATGATTTAAAATTACCTATCTTGCCTTTGAACAAGCTTAGAACAGCATGTTATTAAAAGGGAGCAAATAATATTTGAAATGCAGTTGTAAGATTATTTTTAAAAGAGTTAAATTCTTAAGAAATTTCATGTTGATTATTCTAGACCAATAATTCAGACAGTTTAGGAAATGGGTTTCATAAATGAAATCATTTTTGTCATAAAAATAAGGCTATTGACAGGTTCTGCTCCTCAGGGATAGTTTATAAACGTTTACGAAAATTAGTTTCTTAATTTAAATTATTCTTGTTAGGTTACAGATAAAGGAATAAATCCCAGTATTTTAGGTCAAAAAGAAATTAGAATTTTGTAAGTCTATTTCATGAATACTTACCTGAACGAAATCTGTTTAATTTATTTATTCAGCCACAATTTACATGACAAGAAATGGAAAAGAATATATATAGCCCATGAAGGGCCTGTAGCAAGGAAACACAAATTGAACTAAATACTGTACAAGTTAACAATTTGAAAAGAAAGCATGATAAATGACCGAAATAAAATTTACAATAAAAAAAAAATATACAGTGTAACATTCTGAATACAATAACATAAATTAAAAATATAAAATTTTAAGGAAAGGAGATGTAAGTTGTTTTAAAAGGTGCCATCAATTAACAATTTAAAATACAATATAAAATAATAATTATTGTGCAATATTAAAACCATGGTCCCACCCCAAAAACATTAGCAAACAGTGAAATTAAAAAAGGAGAATAAAGCAAATGAGAGGCAACTTAAGGAAATGGTATCTTAGTTTCATGAGGAACTGTTTGAGAGAAAATGTTACAAACCAAACATTCATATAATGTAATATTTACTGTATCTAGTGACATTATTATCCGAATTCTAGGTTAAAAAGAAATTAGAATTTTCTAAGTCAGTTATAGTTACTATAAAACCAACATTCATAATGTAACATTTACTGCAGCTTTTACTGCATCTAGTGACATTAATCAGAGGTCCAGATAATTATTACTCTCTTCCCATTTCATACATAAACTTGCATATACCCTGTGCTACCTCCTTCACTTTTCCCTTGGGGAAAATTCCGGAGTGATTGAGCCGACACTAACAACTGTTGTCCAAATTGTACCAGGTACCGGTTTAACTCCTGGATAGGAGACCGTCGAATGTAGCTAAACGTCTTTGCCCAAGGACACAATTAATGTTACCAATGTCAAACTCAATGTTTCCAATAAATGATATAGTTCCACGTAAATCTAATAAGCTTGAAATAAACAAGATAATGATTGAATAAATTTTTCCTGTTATTTACTGATGACATTATTATCCGAATTCTAGGTTAAAAAGAAATTAGAATTTTCTAAGTCAGTTATAGTTACTATAAAACCAACATTCATAATGTAACATTTACTGCAGCTTTTACTGCATCTAGTGACATTAATCAGAGGTCCAGATAATTATTACTCTCTTCCCATTTCATACATAAACTTGCATGTACCCTGTGCTACCTCCTTCACTTTTCCCTTGTGGAAAATTCCGGAGTCATTGAGCCGACACTAACAACTGTCGTCCAAATTGTACCAGGTACCGGTTTAACTCCTGGAAAAGAGACCGTCAAATGTAGCTAAACGTCTTTGCCCAAGGACACAATTAATGTTACCAATGTCAAACTCAATGTTTCTAATAAATGATATAGTTCCACGTAAATCTAATAAGCTTGAAATAAACAAGATAATGATTGAATAAATTTTTCCTGTTATTTACTGAGACAGATACTTTTTAGTGTAGTATTTCCATTTTTTTTTCTCTGACCTTTTTTTTTTTTTTTTTTTTTTTTCTGTTTTTTTTTTTTTTTTATTTTCACTTC